GCGCCTGCCCGGCCCCTTCGCCCACCGTCCTCCACGCGGCCCTCCTCCAGTCCTTCCGGGGCTGGGCCTGGGCTGGACGCAGGCCCCAGAGAGGACACACACCGGCCCGCTCCGGGGGCTCACGCACACACAAACCACACACACACACACAACCACACACACCACACCCACCACACCACCACACACACATACAACCACACACACACCACACACATACAAACACACACAACACACACAGTATGCACAACCACACACAACCACACACTACACACACATACAACCACACACACACCACACATACAAACACACACAACCACACACACACACCACACACAAACCACACACACAACCACACACACACAACCACACACGACACACATACACACAACCGCACATACAAACACACAACACACAACCACACACACACATACACACAACCACACACATACAACCACACACACACCACATACAAACAACACAACACACGCAACCACACACAGCCACACATATAAACACACAACCACACACACACGCAACCACACATACACCACACACAAACACACAACACAACACACACAACCACACACAACCACACACAGCCACACACATACAGCCACACACACAACCACACACATACAGCCACACACACACAACCACACACAACCACACAGCCACACACACAACCACACAACCACACATACAACCACACACACACAGTACAACCGCACACACAACCACACAACCACACACACACACAGCCACACACAACCACACACACGACCACACACACAACCACACAACCACACACAACCACACAGACAACCACACACAACCACACACAGACACCACAGACACAACCACATACACACAACCACACACACACAACCATGCACATACAACCACACACAAACACAACCACACACACAACCATACAACCACACACATAACCACACAACCACACACACACAGTACAACCACACACATACAGGCACACGCACACAACCACAAACACAACCACACACACACACAACCACACATACACACACAACCACATACAAACACACTACCACACACAGACACAACCACACACAGATACAAACACACACACACACACAAACACAGCTGCTGTGAGAATGTACATCACCCCTGACCAAATTTCCGTCCTAAAGGAAGAATAGCCAATATGTGGCTCACCTCATAAACACTCATATGCACACACACAAGTCAGAATTAACAGAGGATGGACATACAC